AATGGAAAGCAAGAAGGTAGTATTTTATCTGAGTATGATGGGAAGGCATTGGAGATTCTTAAGACATTATACAGAATGCACATTGGTCTTTTCTTTCACACTCAAAACACAGCTCACTAAAAGCCACATTTTTTTTTTTTTGGTTTGTTTGTTTGGTTGTTTTTTTTTTTTTACTAGAATATAGAATAGAAACCCTGTTATCCCATGTGATGATCAGTTAGCTAATTAGAAAACCCAATCCAAATGGGACCTCATGAAAAAGGAATAAGATAGGCATATACCTCAAACATTTTACCTTAACGCTAAGCATGTAAACATGCGTTCACTTGCCATTCTTTCAGCGGAGGGTCAAAGGCCTGAGTAGGTTAGTGCCATTGGGAGCACTCCCTTTGAATTTCTTACAAAACCATAAACACAAGGCATGCTCTGTGATTTCCAGTTCTGGTGTCTTAAAAGTGGGGCATCCACATGCTATGTAATTAAGCTCTATAATTACAATGACAAACACAACGGGCATAAACAGGTTAGAGATAAACACAGTTGGCTCTGGGTAAACACATAACTTCCTGGTGAGAATAGATACGTTGAGCCAGGAAAGCACAGCCTTTTCTGAGCAACGGTTGTTAGGCTTCACATCGGGAAGAAGACGTCCAGGTCCATCCAGCAAGTCCACTGAAAGCCTCGACGGCACTGCCAAACAGTAGATCATCCAACTCTGCTAGGCTTTAGGGAATTATGGAAATACGACAAGTACTTCATTTGGGGCCGGGGTAGGATTGTATCATTTAAAGTAAATTGGGAGCTCATATTTAAAAAATTACGTAGTGAATCTTTTATAGAACACAGCCATTTGTAAAGCATATAATGACTTCACCATGAACTCATAGGTGAGAGTCTAGAATTTTTGCATGTTTCTTGTGTCCAAAGACAAGCACACTAACAGGCTTCTTCTTCTTTTTTTAAAAAAAGATTTTATTGGGGAATTTGGGGAAGGGAACAGTGCTCGGGAATTGGGGAAGGGGACCCGCCAAGTTGTTGTTCTTCAATCTTCGTTGTGGAGGGCGCCAGTCACCATCTGGCTTCCCGTCGCCAGCTCGTGGCCTCTAAGCTCAAGGTGCTGTGTTCAATCTTAGTTGCGGGTGGGCATAGCCACCATCCCATGCGGGAGTCGAACCAGCAGCCTTGTTGTTAAGAGCGCATGCTCTATCCACTGAGCCATCTGGGCAGCAGCTCAGCTCAAGGTGCCGAGTTCAGTTTTAGTTGCAGGAGGGCGTAGCCACCATCAGAGACAACCTTGTTNTCAATGACATGGGACTTGTCACTTAACCTCTAGAAGCCCCAGGATTATCACCTGAAAAATGGGTATAGTAGTGACAGCCACTTTATTTCATAGTATTGTAGGAAGGGCAAGTAAGATAAAAGACACAAACGGCACCTTGGAATTGCAGTATTGGTTATTAATAGATTAACCTGGTTGGGGAGGTGGCTTCTTTATTCATCCTACATTTTATGCCCTGAAACCTAAGCACTCAACTTAAGAAAATGACTTTCCAAAGTATAAAAGAGGTTTTTTTGGGGGAGGCAACCAAAGAAGCATTTTGTTTACCCCTAATTCATATACCTTCCTTACTTCCAAAATAGGTTCAATGAACCTTATAATAAGTCTCTGATGCAATAAAATTATCAAAACGCAAAAGAGAAATAAGGTACAAGAAAAGGAGAACCCACAGTAAGGGAAGTGTGACTAATGGGTACAGACGGTAGGCCTGCCTTTCCCAGAAGCCAAGGAAAAGATTAAAAGATAAAGCAGTCAAGAACAAAGGCTGGGTTCAAAGCGTCACCAGTTAAGCAAAGGAACAGAGAAGATAAGCGGCACAGGCCTCCTGTCAGCATCTCCAGGTCACAGAAGGTCAGGGGTGTCAGGGCCCCAAAGTGCCAGAATCGGGTTGCTTGATTTTATCAGAGAGCGGGACCCAGGCTGCCACATGGAGCCAGGGAGTCACTCACACACGGCCGTGGTCTGTTTTAGGGGCAATGGGTGTAAGAATGCCGACTTTAAACCCGGAGGTCAAGCTCCACCACCCACCAGCTCCTTTGCCTCTCTCACGCTCGGTACCCTCACCTACCAAAGCAGGCTAATAGTTCCCCCTCCCTGTTGGCATTTGTGATACCTGAGACAAATAAATCATCAAGCTCACGACAGGGCTTTTGCCTGCGTTCATTTGCAAGGGCACTAAGTTGACATGCCTGATTGCTCATTGTCACGGGCACCATCCCTATAGCAGCTGAGCAATGGCCACCTGAAGACGCCAGGCCCTGACTCCTGGAACCTGTGTTACCTTGTAGGGAAAAGGGGGTTGCAGGTGTGATTCAATTCAGGATCTGGACATTGGAAAACTACCTGGGATGCAGGGGAGGGGGCTAAATGCAATCACAGGTGTCCTTATAAGACGGAAATTTGACACGCATTGAAGAGAAGGCCATGCAGCCACAGCGGCAGAAATTGGAGTGATGTACGTGCAGGGGACAACCTCCCGGCATCCACCAGAGCTGAAAGAGCAAGACATGCCTTTTCCCCTGAGACTCCGGAGGGAACATGGCTCTGCCCCACTTTGCCTTCGGTCCGATGAAGCTGAGTTTAGACTCCTGGCCTCCAGCACCGTGAGGTGGCAGATATCTGTTGCTCTAAGCCACCAGGTTTGTGGTAATTTGTCGCAAGAGCCACAAGAAACTCGTACAGTCCCCAAGACATTCTAGTTTTCCTAAACACCCATTATTTACCTGGTTTCCCCCTGATGATTCCATTTATTATAGCACTACGCAAAATGCCCAGAATCTTGGTGAGGTCAGCAGGGTTGAAAGGGTAATTTCTGTTTTACAGATGAAGAGTCTGAGGTTCAGGGAGTTCCACACAATTTTCCCAAGGACGAGCAGTGTCTGACCCATAGCTAATTATAGAGCGTGGACCTACCCATCGCTTCTCTGAGCCCTGAGACATCTTTTTCCACCAAAACACGTGGTCTCTCTGCTTAGAGCAATTTATAATTTTAACCTGGTCCTTTTCCTAGATTCAAGCCACTGCCTCGAGGTTGTGGGAAGGGAAACAGATGGCAGACTAGGGTTCTGGGAAGAAGGCATTCCCGAGAGAAGGAAGGAGGAAGACAGCTGAGGGTTTGGGCAGAGATGAAAGGAGCCCTCGTAACCCAGTGGCCACCCACATCCAGAGAAGGCCTTCGCAGAGCAAGCGTTGGCTGTGCTTTTCGAATTCCAGGCTCTCAGGAACACATGCCCAGGGCGCAAGCGCTTCAGTCGAGCTCTCTCCCTACCTCCCTTTTCAGGCAGAGATTATGACCATTGGGGGCATCCCTCCTGCAGCAAGTTCATCAAAAGCCATACAAATGCGTGCACACCTTTGGACTCCAAAATTTACAGTGGCGAGATTATATATATATATATATATAT